GAATGTGCAACCCCAAATCATCAACCAAATTCGTCAAATCTTTTTTCCCTCATCAAGAACACTAGAAACTCAATGTCAACAAGAAACCCCCTTCGAAAATTAATCCACACAACTATGAATCTAAAAAATTCTTACAACTTTCAACTCATAATCAATTCAACAACTCAACAACTCCATTAAGCAAGAATTACAACTCACTACAAAAAAAAACACTCATTACCGACGGACTTTTTTCCACGAAAAAATATCTGTCTAAAAAATGACATTACCGACGGATTTTTCTGACGAATATATGTCCGTCTGAAATATAAACGATTCCGATGGATATTACCCACGAATTTTTTTCATATGTAATTTCAGATGGATGTTACCCACGGATTTTTTTCATATGTAATTTCAGATGGATGTTACCCACAGATTTATATCAGTGAGTAATTACCCACAGATATAAATCTGTGGGTAACTATTTTATATTAATAATTTATGTTAAAAATGTAAAATTAATTTATAAGTAATAATGATAAATAAAAACTAAATTAGATAAAAAAATTAAAAATATATAAAATTCTTCTAGTTAAAGAAATGTTTTTAAAAATGCTATGGCACAAGAAAGATAATTATTTTTTATTAATAATTTATTTTAAAACTAATAAAATTAAATTCTACGTAATTATGATAAATAAAAATTAAATTAGATAATTACCCACAATTATAAATCTGTGGGTAATTATTTTTTATTAATAATTTATGTTAAAAATGTAAAATTAATTCATAAGTAACTTTGATAAATAAAAATTAAATTAGATAATTTTTCACGAAATTACCGACAGATTTATCCGTGGGTAATTACCCACAGAAATAAATTCGTGGGTAATTACCCATGGATATAAATCGGTGGGTAATTAATTTTTATTAATAATTTTTGTTAAAAATGTAAAATTAATTTTTAAGTAATAATGATAAATATAAATTAAATTAGATAAAAAAAATAAAAATATATAAAATTATTCTAGTTAAAGAAATGTTTTTAAAAATGTTATGACACAAGAAAGGTAATTATATTTTATTAATAATTTATTTTAAAAATAATAAAATTAATTCCTAAATAATTATGATAAATAAAAATTAAATTAGATAATTACTCACGGATATAAATTCGTGGGTAATTATTTTTTTTATTAATAATTTATGTTAAAAATGTAAAATTAATTCATAAGTAATTATGAAAAATAAAAATTAAATTAGATACTTTCCCATGAAATTATCCACGGATGTATCCGTGGATGATTACCGACGGATTTATCCGTGGGTAATTACCCATGGATATAAATCCGTGGGTAATTGTTTTTTTTTATTAATAATTTATGTTTAAATTGTAAAATTAATTCATAAGTAATTATGATAAATAAAAATTAAATTAGATAATTACCCATGGATATAAATCCGTGGGTAATTGTTTTTTTTTATTAATAATTTATGTTTAAATTGTAAAATTAATTCATAAGTAATTATGATAAATAAAAATTAAATTAGATAATTTCCCACGGAATTATCCACGGATAAATCTCTCGGTAATTAATTTTTATTAATAGTTTTTGTTAAAAATGAAAAATTAATTTTCAGTAATAATGATAAATATAAATTAAATTAGATAAAAAATAAAAAAATATATAAATTCTTCTAGTTAAAGAAATGTCTTTAAAAATGCTATGGTCCAAGAAAGGTAATTATTTTTTATTAATAAAATTGTTGGTAATTATTTTTATTAAAAATTTGTTGGTAATTATTTTTATTAATAATTTATGTCAAAAATAATAAAATTAATTTATAAGTAATTATGACAAATAAAAATTAAATTAGATAATTACCTATGGAATTACCAACAGATGTATCCGTGGTTAGTTATTTTTTATTAATAATTTATGTTAAAAATAATAAAATTAATTTATAAGATAATGATAAATAAAAACTAAATTAGATAAAAAAAAATTAAAAATATATAAAATTCTTCTAGTTAAAGAAAAGTATCTAAAAACGCTATGACACAAGAAAGACATTTGTGCTTTATATATAGAAGTTAATTATTCTTTGATTAGTTACTAATTTTTATTTAATATATATTTATACAAATTTTAAATATAATTTATTGATTTAACTATAATATTTATTTTTATATATAATTTATTATAAATTTTAATTATATATAATAAAAAGGTAACTTGTGAAATACACAGACTAAAATATTAATATTTTTAATTTACAAAAAATTATAGTATTATATTATATTGTAATTTGTGAAATATATTAGAATGAGAGAGATCCAAAGATTGTACAAGTATGAGATTCTATAGTTAAAGGTGACTTAAATGAATTAATTTGTATTATTTATACCAATGAGATGCATTTACTCTTTGGTAGCTTATTCTTTAAGAACTTCACAGTTAAGCGTGCTTAACATGGGGTAATTTAGGGATGGGTGACCTTCTAGAAGTTTTCTAGGAAAATGTGTGACTGACGATAAGGCATGCTGAAAAGTCTCATGTATTGGTTTCTAGGGTCAAACTTTGATCCTAAAAGCGGATGAATATCTCAAAAAAGGTTATTCATGGAGGGTTCTGATCGGTGAAGGGTTCTGACCAATGAGGAGTTGCATGGGTTATTCATGGAGGGTTCTGATCGGTGAAGGGTTCTGACCAATGAGGAGTTGAGTGAGATGTCGTGGAGTGGAACTGTTGAAAGGTCAGATATGAGAGATGTTGCCTTCAATAAGAGTGTTATTTAATATAATTTTAAAATAATTTTTTAAAAATATTATCAACAATACCCACAGATAAAATTCGTGGGTAATTCCGTCTGAAAAATCCATGGGTAATTCCGTCGAAAAGTTACCCATGGATTATAATCCGTTGGTAAATGTTTCAGACAAGCAATTTACCGACGGATTATTGTCCGTCTGTAATCCGTCGAAAATGAAGTGTTACCCACAAATTTTTTGGATTACCCACGAATTTTGGTCGTCTGTAATTTCGAAATTTCTTGTAGTGACTTCCTTTACCTATGAGTAGCACGGAACTAAGGTAAAAGAGGAGGGAAATAAGGTTCTATACACTTCACGAATTTGATTCAAGATATCCACAACCTGAATCACAACAAACAACCTAAAATCAACTAAGAAGAAGAAGAAATCTTGGAGAAGAGACAATTCAAGGAAGAAAGAGTACAAAGACCAAAGTTTGTCTATCTAAAATTTTCTCTCTAAGATTCTAAAAACTTGAAGTTATGAAGCTTTATTCTAAATACAAACCTTATAAATCTTACTCTTAGAATCAAATCAGGCCTCTATATAAAAAAAAAAAAAAAAAAAAAAAAAAAAAAAAAAAAACTCTTTAAACTATCTAAACTCACTAAAAATCTTCGAATTTTAGAGTCACTTAATACAAAACATCACAATAGCACTTAAACAGATAAAAACACCAACTTCAAAGGTAATGCTACAACAATAATTTACAAAACCTTTATATATGGTAAAGCGTTAAGGGTAGCCTATCCATACCTAACATAAAGATGATTTAAGAATTTAACCATATATGATTCTTCTAATATATTTATTGAGTTTGAATTACTATTCTTTTCGATTGAACTGTTTAACTCGATCCATTGCTTTTCCGTTTATATATCTGAAAGTGTAAGATTTGCGATCAACTAATTCTAACGAATTTCTAAACACACACTGAGTTATCTGATCGATTGACAATTTTTTTAGTTGTTTCCTAATGAAGCAACTCAAAAAAAATCTGTATATTTATATATAGCTAAGAATTTTAGCAGAAAAAGGTGGTGTTGGGGGACCAGGGGCAAAATACTAATTGTTACCTTGAACAGCTGCTTGATGCAGACTTGAGTTATCACTCATCTCTTTCATTTCGTTTTCAATACCAGCCCACTACATGGGACACCTCACTTTAGACGGATAGGCCTGACACAAGGTCCAGCCTCACTTCCAAAATGCAATCCAGCCCCCCTAAGTTTATCTTTCTTCCTGCAGGCCATCATAGGTTAAACAATCACTGCAAAATTTGTATTTAACATGCCTCTATCAAGGTTGTTGTCAAAAAATATAAGCTGAATCAAGAGCACAACCACCCACTTTAATCTTTGCATTTGAAAAATATTGTGATGTTAGTTTCTAAAACTATGTAATTGTCAAATAAATCATTAAATTTAATTATTTACTATTATTTTAGTCTCTGAATATATATCAATATGATCATTTCAGTTTTATATTTTTTAATTTTAGATGAATGTAATTGTCAAATTATATTTTTAGCAACTCATTTAACAATTTCTTAATTTTAAAAACTAATATATAAACGTGTTCCAAATTCAAGAAAGAAAGCGAGTGTTTACTCTAAAATCATTTATATCTTTATATAATTGTTTAAAACTCATACGTTGGTTTATTTTGAGTCTAAAAGACTTGTGCCAAGAAAGGGATAAGAAATGTGTTGTGTCTGAATCACATATCTTCACCTAATAATTTAGATTTTTTATTTAGTTAATTTATATTTTTTGAGTGGTCAGGGTATTTTTCAGCTGAAAAGATTAATCTCTTTCTAGTACGCAAAATTTATTCAAAAGATTAATATCTCTTCTGAGTTCTAGTAAACACTTTTTCTTATTTACCTACTTAAGTATGAAACATTTTAATTACATATATACTTAAAGGATATAATTATTGTAAATCATAAATATTGAAAACTAAGGGAGATAATTAGTTTATGATGAGACTTATTAATGTCTATTATTGGAAAAGATTTTTATTTCTTCTTTTTTAATTTTAATTTTCAATTATTGGCTTGCTGTAACCATTTTGCAATCATTAAAAAGCAAAAATATCATCCACAGTCCACAGCCAACAACTTGGTCGCGAGGTGTTAAGGCAACATCAACGTCCTTTCACATGACAGAGAAAGCTGAAATGTAGTGCACAAATGAAGTAGCATCATCAAATTATATCTGCACTGCATAATATTTAGCATTAATACGCAAAAGCGAAAGTAGTAAATCCATAGTTATGACCATAAACTTTCCACCTATATACCTCACCTCATGCTGCTATAAAGAAATATAACCATCTCTCACTGTCATAAACGTCAATTATTACAAAGCTAAATACTAAATCCAAGGGGTGATTATGGTCATTCTCAAATTAAGATTCCATTGTTCACCCATAACACTCTCAAACACATTTTTTCGAACACACTTTAATATCTTAAGATTTATTGAAAACTACGAAATTGTTAGGGTGGCTCAATAGGTAAGAGTGAGATCCACCAAATTTTGTGATTTCCAATAAATTTTAAGTAAGTCGGAGCGTGTTAAAAGAATGTGTTGTTAGTACTTTTCCTTTCATCGTCAGCAAAATGAAATCTGAACTCCTCAATCTTCAGCTTGTGGCCTGTGGTGTTAATCCTATTGATTTGAGGAACTTGAGCATGATTATTGGAAGGAGTTACAGATGGAAGCTTTGACAGCATAGCTCCAAAGCTGCAAGACATGTTTGGCAAGGAAGGTGGAGGTGACCAAGGAGGTGACCAAAGAGGTGACCCTTGTTGTGTTGTTGTTGTTCCATTTTGGGGTGGTGGATTCCTACCCAAGTTGATGGCTAACATGGAAAAGAAGCTGGACCTTTCCTCATGCAATGCATTGACCCTTGTTACTTGGTTGTTGTTGTTATAGGTAGATAGAGTCTTTTCATTGCTTTCCATCATGTGGTGATTATTGGTTTTGGCAATGCATGGAGGCTGAATGGGTAGGTGTGGTCTTTGGATGGAAAATGCACCTGGTATGCTGTGGAGGTAGCTGAACTTCCTTTGAATGTTGACCACCAAATTGAGATCTTCAGCAATCTGAAGAACCCGAGTTAGTCGCAAGATTTTGAACAAAATGTAGAAATAATATTTGGAGGGACAGAAAGAACAAGACCTTGTTAAATGAACCAAGTTGTACTAGGCCTTCTCTGACAGCAATGACAGCAATAGTCTGCCAAAATGAATAAGTAATATCAACTTATATAGACAAAAAAAAAAAAAATTGATGTAAACTTTGAGTTTCTGAACCCTTTGATTTTCCTGTGAATGAATATACTAACCTGAATACCTGAATTTAACTGAAACTCCCACGTCCTTGGTTGCTGTTAAGATTAAATGTTAAATTATATATTAAAAAAGAACAAGTGATTTAGATTTAAGTACAGAGGGACAGACTGTGAAGAACTTTTTGTCCTTATTTTTATTAAAATAGCTACTTCTCTTACATGATCGATTGAAGAATTCCACGCACCAATGTAGTTAGGTTCACACCCACTGTGAGTGTCTCTATAAACCCACTTGTGACTATTATCCGCAGCCACTTTCCCCAGTAATCTGCAAAATGTGGATATCAAATAAGAATACTCTACACTTTTTTCTCAAAGCAATGGAAAAGGAAATGAACTTTCTTTTCTTAAATATGTAAAAGTGGAGCAATGTCAATCTCACCCTTCTCCATAACTATAAACCTCATGAGACATTTTGAAGAATACGTCAGGTCCAAAACTGTGGTTCAGGTATCCACTCCTCCCTTGTTCACATTCATTAAAATCGCAGAACCCATCTTCCCATACAAGGATCCTAACAAAGAAAAAAAAACATTATTTCAAATACCACAAAATGTTATGTTCATGTAAAAGTGTCCTTGTTTTATCACAGTTCCATCAAACTTGCCAGTTTCTTTTATTTCCCTTTGAGCGATCAAGAGCTGTCCCTCCAAATTCCCACCTGCAGCGAAGTAATTAAACATTAAACAAACATCCACATAACATGTACACACTCAAATTCCCTATACTTACCTAGGTGGTGATAACACGTGGTTCATTTTCTCACACATTATTCTTTATATGTTGTTAAATTACATGGACAAAACTTAGTATTGCTTTTCAATCAAAATTAAATAGAGTTGCACTTCAATAACATGCATAATAAAAGTTTCCATTAAATGTGAACATAGATTCTGATATTAGACTCTAATTCTGATTAGAAAATCACACGCAAAATGTTTACAAAATTGTATGTAAGTTTTGTTGAATTACTTACCTAGGTGGAGGGAAGTTTCTGGGTACTATCCTCCAGAAAACAGCATACACCCACTTAGAAGAAGTTGGGGAAGTGGGAAAAGAGCAAATGCTTCTGAGAGTGTGCTGTAGGAGACAGTCAAGGAAGGGTAATCCACTTTCCATTGTCCAAAGAGTGGGGAGAGAAGGTAGGGGGCAGAAAGGTTGGTTATAAAGGCCAAAATATGCAAACAGTATATTGTGAATGGTACCCGCTTGCAACTTGCAGTTGGACACCACCAAAAGAGTGTCCCAAGTTAGCACCAATATTGAGAGTTGGTGTAGTTGTAATTTTGGAGTGGGACCAGGACATTTCCCTTTCTGCTTGGTAACTGGTGAGGAACATATCTATAATTTAAATATCCTTCAAATGCATTGGTTATATAGTTTGATTTGATATTTCCATTTACTAAGCTCTTGCATTAATCACCGTGTGCATGAATTAACTGGCATTGAGTAATTTTGGTTTAACTAAAAGTTTCGGATTCGAATTTTGGATGTCTAACTGCGTTACACAAATAGAGTTTTATCGTGTATAATCATCCTATTCAACCTAAACAGGTTAGTTCTTCCACTTTCTTTTATGGAAACTTTGTTTTCACTTTTGTAATGTTATTCATGCTGAATAATGATCACAGTATGTGTGAAATGGTGCAGAGTTTACGAAAATGTTGCCTCTACTTATGCTGCTGAAACGGTAAAAAAAAAACGAGGTTTCAACTTACTTGCTCAATAATGCACGAGTACATTAAGAAAATTGTGTCAAATGACATCATGCAAAACGTAGTAATAATGATGATGATTTAGTTAGATGCTTGTATTGTAGAGAAAGTCCTTATCACAATTAGCTAAAATTTATTCTTTAAAACTTCTGCGATTTTGTCAAAATCCAAACACGCCATAAACTATTGGACTGCCCTGTTACATCGTCTAGGCTATCTCCTTGTCTCTTTTGCAAGTATGTTCCATATCAAACGCAGTTCATTTCAGCAATTTATGATAGTCATAAATATTCTAATTATCTTGAAAGCCAAAACTATTAAGCAAAACAGGAATTAATCATTCATACACTGTCAGTGTAAAGTTTTTTACACTCACAATCAATCATATTTTTTAAATTATTTTATTTTTATTTAATTAAATAAGAAAATGACATGGCACTATTAAAAGATATGATTGATTGTCAGTGTAAATTTTTTTTACACTAACAGAGTATAAGTGATTAACTCGCAAAAGAGATATGAAAAGATTTACATTATAATTTCAGAATTTAGTTAAAATGCACTAATGGTAAAAGTATCTTATACTAATATTTTGTCACAAATTATGATATATGATAAGTTTATTAATTTTTATAATATTTATTTAAAAAATAGAATGATTTTATTTATTTTTATTTATCGACAACATCAGGAATTATATGGAAGTGTAATATATACCTGCTAGAAATACCAATAGTATAGTACAAAATTTTTATTACTCAACCAACCATAAGGAGAGCAATTACATAAGGTACAATGATTGATAAAATAAATGAAATAACAATTAATGTAACAACCACTAATGGAAAAGTAATAGTCATGTTTCTATCGTCCGATTTACTAACAAAAAGAAATATACCATTTATTATTTTATTTTATTTTTATTTTGACAAGAGCTATACCATTTTTTTATCAGTAAAAGAACCATACCATTTGATTCTTCAATCCCTACCTTCATCCATTTATCGGAAAAAAAAATGGAATAAAAATTGTATTATGAAAGGATTTTGTCATGGATTTATTAGTTTTTTAAGTCTTTTCATCACTTTTTAGGCATGAATTAGAAATAGTATAAAACAAATTCCATAACCAACCACAAAATTAAACTCATTTTTAACATGTAAGGAGAATTTTGAACCACTAGATCTTATTAGAAGTTCTGATACTATATCATATATGAATTATTAAAAAAATAATTTAATTATGAAATAAAGAAATATCAATGATTTTATGTTATATTACTTATGGGATGTTTCAAGATATAATATTACATTCCTAGAAATTTTATTTCCAGCAATATTATTTTTGGGTATTTAAAAATGTGTTCTGTACCGGGAGGACCCTATCGGTCACGTGGACCAACACGTGCCGTTTCGTCAGATACCCATGCAAACTAGACTACCCAGTCTTGACGTTACCATCGGCATGGTCTGTAACCGAAGGCCGAGGGCATTGTTATACTAGTGTCGGCTCGGCGCAAGGCCGACACGAGTGGGAATCATAATACGTATCTATATTGTATATCGGTTCAGCCAAATGCCAGCCGAATGGAACAACATCAAATATGTATCGGCCTGGCCAACGGCCGAGACGATCAACATAGCCTTACCCTGTCGATTCGGCGATATGTCGAAGAACAAAGCAAGGATTATAATACTGATCATGGTTAATAGCGGTAAGCACATGATTAAGACACAATTGGCTGATTAGGGCTGTATTACCTAATTTGGTAAGATTAGGAGAGGCCCACTACTGACAAGGCCCACCTGTAATAGTATAAATAGGTCACTTATATCGAGGTACGTCACTGTTCATTAATTATTGTGAGAAATCGTGCTTATACTGACTTGGGCGTCGAAGTGCCTTTTGCAGGTACCTCCCCCTTCTCCGAAGTATATATCTGAAGCTCTCGACCGGCCCTTCCCCACAGAAGACTACGAGTGTACCCTCAGACAGGTACATTTTGACGCCCACCGTGGGGCCGAACCGAGAGAACTGCAAAAACAAATAGAGCATAGCACTGAAGAGAATCATGGTGAAGACGAGGAAGACTAATGTTGAAGAGCACCAATCTGAAGATGAGCACCAGTCCGGGGCCGAAACGGTAGAGGAGACAAACTTCACCGAAATGATACGTCAAATGAAGGAAGAAATGGCCGCCATGAAACAGCAAAGAGAGAGAGATGCTGTTCAAATCATCTTGGATTAATATAAGATTTTGTATATATGATCTAAGAATAAAGAACTTTCAATATAACGGTTGAATTTATAAAATTCACATTTAATATAAAATTATTAAGTAATATAATACTTAGTAAAAATTATACCGGTATCATTTCTTTTCTAAAGAATTTATGATTGAACCAATTGATTTTAATTCAAGGTAAAACAAATTGTTTAAAACACTTATTAATGCAAGCTTGAATTTAACTACCATACATGCAAAATTTAAAATACAATAAACAAATTAATAAACATGTAGTTAGATTAACAAGAGAGTAAATTCAAGTTAAAGAGTAAGGAAATCTTGCACAACAATTTATACTAGTTCAGTCATTTCCACTAGTGATCTACAACTAGTCTTTAATCAATTCGATTGAATATTTCACTATTCTTTAATTTTAGAAGTTTTACAATCACACAACACATGCAAAACACTTTAGCAAAATTAAAGAAACCACTTCTTGAACCCCAAGAAACACCCTTGTAACATCCCACCATAAGTAACATTTCTTTCTTTAGAAACAACTCAAGAACCTATCTACCTTGAGAAACTTACTCAAGAAAATACAAAAAAGATTAAGGAAAGATATTACCTAAAGTACAAAATAAAAAGAACATGTGTATCAAGATTAAACCACTTAGCCACAATCTTCCAATTAGATGATGTTGACAGTTCAACTCTCTTGATTTATGCTAGAGGTCCCCACAAAAGGTTTCAAACCTCCATTTAAGAAAAGCTTTTTCTCAAAGCTCACTAATGAATAATATTTGTAAAATTTCACAAGTTCTAAGAATGAAAAAAAATGTTATATACATTTTCCTATTATTGTTAGGGCTACTCGGAAATCATATAATTCGAAAGCTATATTTATGAAACTACTCGAAAGAAAGATAAAGGTCAACACGTACCAGAATCGTATTAGAAGCCTTATTTGCTCACACTTGAGATGTGGTCGAATAGAATGGGTCATCGAAAAGAGAAGTGCTCGAAAAATATATAAAGGAAGATAATGGAGGTTTCCTAAATGGTTGAGTATTTAAACTAGAGCGGTTATTGAAAAGTGAATCGAAAAGATAACAAAAACGTAGGATGAACGGTTACGAGAAGTTATATTCTAGACCACGTAATGAGAGCGCAGTGGATGACGGTTACTTTCCAATAACTCACATGTACACAATTAACCGCCCTCGAATTAACTCTATAAATATGCAAGGCATAGTGATTTAAGGGGGTCAGAAAACTCATACTTGAACTCTCAAGCACTCACCGCCTGCGCATATGGCTTTCGTGCAAGGAATTGCTTCTAGGTATGACCATTTCTTGGCCACATTTCTTTTCTCTTTTTAGGATTAGGATTAGTTTAGTTGTCTTTTCTTCTTTTAATCACGTAGTCATATAGCTTTATAATTGTAACTCGTTAAGGTGATGTGAACATGATTTGTATTGCAAATATATGTATCTTTCATTCTGTTTATTTGAGGGTTTACTTTCATGAACATTATTGCTTGTTAATCATTGATGAACATGTGGAAACAAGTAATTATTAATCTTTCTGCTCCATCTGTTATTCTTCACGTCTAAATGGTGGTGCACGCCAACACGTCCTACAACATTTTGCTTGGACGGTCGTCCTTAAATCGGCTCGGTGCAATCGTCTCCACTCCACACCTGGCTATGAAGTTTCCAGCCGACTCAGGGCGAGTAATCACGGTCCACGCTGATCAAAAAACCGCGCGAGAATGCTACTTTGCTAGTTTGCGATTACCGGAAATGAAGCCCGAAGCAACAAAATCAACAGGGGTGCATTCGGTATCACAGCATTCGGCCATCGATTTAGGTATATGGTATATGAGACTTAGGAGTGGAAGAACCATGTCTACGTCTAATAATTCTAATAACAGGAACAATGATAATCAAGTAGATGTAGAACACGTAAATCCCAACAACCCAGATAACATAGTTGTTGAAGTTTTACAATCACACAACACATGCAAAACACTTTAGCAAAATTAAAGAAACCACTTCTTGAACCCCAAGAAACACCCTTGTAACATCCCACCATAAGTAACATTTCTTTCTTTAGAAACAACTCAAGAACCTATCTACCTTGAGAAACTTACTCAAGAAAATACAAAAAAGATTAAGGAAAGATATTACCTAAAGTACAAAATAAAAAGAACATGTGTATCAAGATTAAACCACTTAGCCACAATCTTCCAATTAGATGATGTTGACAGTTCAACTCTCTTGATTTATGCTAGAGGTCCCCACAA